AAAAAAAAAAAAGCAGTAGGCTGAACTTCTGCCTCCGCATACTTTATTTCAAGTTTCTACCAAACTGACTATATCAGTCAGCCAGAGAGGAGCACCAGACTCCAAATTCCTTTAGATTAGGGACTGTCTTCCTTCAGAGATCATTCCTCTTAATGAAGTTCAACAGTCAACCCCTTGAAGCCCATAGAAGTGTGCCCCTTTTTTAATCTTTCTATAGTATTTTATATATATTTTTAATTTATCTTTACTGTTGAAAGTATTACAGATGTCTCTTTTTCCCTCCATTGAGCCCCTCCACCCCACATCCACCCTCCCCCACAAGACCTTCTCCACACTATTTTTCAGCCCTAATGTTTGATCTGTCACATAATCATGCACTTTGTAGCATTGGAATGGTCCTTAGAGATCATCTAATGAAGCCCCTTACTTTACAGATGAGGATACTGGGGCCTAGAAATGGGGAAGGACAGTCCAACACAACAGCTGGGATGGGGACACAGGGCTCCTATGCACCCACTCCAGTTCTCTCTCTACCCCACCAGATGCCTCAGTTCTAAGATTTTCTTCCTCTCAACTTGGTGTGTTAGTGTGTTTTTTCCCCTTTTGGGAACTAAGGCAGCTTTGGCACATTGAACACAACTATCTCCATCAGGCCAATCTCTTCCCATTTTTATCACTGTGCAGGCAGCTGGCTTTCATGTAGCTCCAATGAGTGTGTGTTATCCTTGTGTTTTGTAATTTTTACATGACCTTGCTTCATATACTCACTTCCAGGAAACAGTATCTCATTGTGCTATTCTACCATGGGTGGCTTAGCCCATTACATATTACTGGACACTCAAAATCAACAGGCACTGAAAGTATATGCACAAAACTGTTACCAATGGTAAGTGACCTTTGAGCGAGTAGAACTGGGTATTGTGGGGGTAAAGGAGTAACTTTCGTTTTCTACTTTGTGCCTTTTTGCTCACTGGTGATTTTTATAATGATGCTTTATTTTTATTATAAGAATAATTTAAACTGCGTGTTAGGCATTGGAGGTTTTCCAGTTTTTCTCCTACAAAGAACTTGTGTCTGTTCTTGTTGCCAGATTACATTTCTGAAGAGAATAAACCAATTATTGGGCCCATTGTCAATGTAGAAGTGTACGTATCCCCGCCTAACAAGCACATAAGCCTTCTGACACCAGCTTTAATCATTCTTATTCACACTACAATACCTTAAAATCTTTTGAATATGCATTTTTCATGGATAGTAAAACTCTGCATGTTTTTTTGTCATCAAAAAGTCCATTTCCACCCAGCCAGCATGGCTCAGTGGTTGAGCATTGACCTATGATCCAGGAGATCATGATTTGATTCCCAGTCAAGGCACATGCCCAGATTTTGGGCTTGAACCCCAGTGGGGGGCGTGCAGGCGGCAGCCAATTGATGATTCTCTCTCATCATTGATGTTTCTCTCTCTCTCCCTCTCCATTCCTCTCTCTGAAATCAATAGAAATACATATACATATTTTTTTTTATTATTATTATTTTTTAAATATATCTTTATTGATTTCAGAGAGAAGAAAAGAGAGGGAGAGAGAGAGAGAGAAACATCAATGACGAGAGAGTCATTGATAGGCTGCAGCCCGCAACCCGGGCATGTGCCCTGACCGGGAATCGAACCCCGATCGACTGGATCCTAGGTTGACGCTCAACCGCTGAGCCCGGCTGGGCTATATATTTTTTTTAATGTTGTTTCCTACTATGGTGAAAAAAGTACATCAGACAGACCTATGATCAAAACTTCATTTTTCTGCTTAAACATAAAGACTTTGGGCCTATTGCCCAACTTCTCTGAGCCTCAAGATTCCTCATTGGTCAAATGGGTACGCTGATGTACCTGCATTCAGGTTTGTTCTGAAGATTAAATGAAATAATGCACATGAAGTGTTTAGCAGGCTTGGCACACAGCAACGCTCAGTAAATGGTGACTCCTTATTTGCCATCCCCTGATGTATGGTAGACTGGGAAATCTGCACTAAGCTAGAGAAAGCTCTCCATCAGAAACGCCTGGCACTCAGATGACAGACTTCACTTCTAGGGCTCGCTGCATCAGTGGGGCTGGGAACAGGGTGATCTGATGTCGTGAGTTATATAGAGCTTTTAGCTTTAGAGTCACCTTCTACTTTCTAAGTGTCTCTATCTGCACAACAGCCCTACAAAGTGGGTAAGCCCTTCATCTGTGAAGAAATAATGGTAGAGAGAGAATAAACCTGTTCGTGTATTTAACACTTATTTATAGAGCACCTACGTGTACCTGACATGTCTAGGGGCTGGGAACAGAGAAATGAACAAAAGTCTCTGCCCTCATAGACCATATGATCTGGTGGTGGAAGGAAAGCAATAGGGTAAATAAGTAAAATCTAATAAGTAGATCTAAGTGCTAAAGAAAAAATAAATCAGAGAAGGAGAGTTGTAATTTTCAATGAGATGGCTAGGAAAGGCCTCAATGAGCAAGTGGCATCTTAACAAAGATCTGAAGAGAGGTAAGGCATGAACCATGAGAATAGATCTCAGGAGAGAGTGCTCCAGAGAGAGGGAACAGCAAGTGCAAAGGCCCTGATGTGGGGACATTCCTGGCACTTGAATAGCAAAGAAGCAGGTGTAACTGGAGTAAGGAAGGTGAAAAGGGAGAGGGTAGTAGATGATGGAGTCTGAGCAGTAAATTGAGGGGGAGGAGGGGACTCGGATCATGTTGAACCCTGTAGGCCATTGTCAGGACTTACTTTTGCCTTTTATTCAGAATAACCAGTGAGACTTGCAGGGGAAATTTTTCTTGCTTGTTTTGTGTCCCATTCCAGTCTGATTCACAAACCTTTGATACAGCAGGTAGACTTTTGTCCAACCCCAAATGGAGGTGTACTTCAGAACAAGAAGGCCCAAGGAAAATTAGCATTCTGCACCATTCATCTTCACGATGCCCTAGATCCATGCACACCCCCTCTGTTAATATGAGCATTCTAAAGTTGGTGTTGGAGCCCTGGCCGGTGTGCTCAGTGGTTAGAGTGTCGGCTCATGCACTGAAGGGTCACAGGTTTGACCCCTCCTAATGGGAATGGTGAGTTGTGCCCACTGGAGTATAAACAAAAGGTATGGAGCCAGAAATACGACCTTTCTTCATTCTCACCTGACCAGAGCTGCACAGGGCTTAGGAACACAGAAAAAGAGACAACAGGGCTGGGAGTTTCGCCTCAACCAATTTCAACTGGTCTCTTTTCCGAGGAAATACAGTGAGTGGGGATTTCAAGTGATTCTTCTTTATCCAGCGGCCAGTTTTGCAAAGCAACCCAGGGCCTTTTCACCAGAGCTGCCAGGTTAAGCCACACGAATGGGTTAGAGCCAGGCACAGGAGGAAAAGAAAAAGGAATTCACAGGCCCATGCATCTGAGTGCGTGGATAATATGTTCCAAGGGTCCAGCAAAGGGACTTTTGATCCACGTCCATCCCCTCTGTTAATCTGAGCATTCTAAAGTTGGTGTTGGCGCCCTGGCTGGTGTGGTTCAGTGGTTAGAGCATCGGCCCACACACTGAAGGGTAGCAGGTTTGATTCCTGGTCAAGGGCACATACTTGGGTTGCAGGTTCTACCCCCACCCCGGTTGGGAGCACCTACAGGAGGCAACCAATCAATGTGTCTCTCTCACATCAATGTTTCTCTCCCTCTCTCTCTCCCTGTCACCCTCCCTCCCTTCCACTCTCTTTAAAAATCAATGAAAAGCCTGGCCGAGCATGGCTCAGCGGTTGAGCGTTAACCTAGGATCCAGGCGATCAGGGTTCGATTCCTGGTCAGGGCACATGCCTGGGTTGCAGGCTTAATTCCCAGTCGGGGGCGTGCAGGAGGCAGCCGATCAATGACTCTCTCATCATTGATGTTTCTATCTCTCTCTCTCCCTCTCCTTTCCTCCCTCTGAAATCAATATTTTTTTTTAATCAATGGAAAAAATATCCTCATGTGAGGATTAAATCAATCAATCAATAAAATAAAGTTGGTGTTGGAGAAATCTTGTTTGAGAGAAGCAACTTCCTCCTTAGGCCAATAGGACCCCATTTAGAGCACCAGGTGGAAAAATTGCTTAACTGGGAATATTAGATTTTCCTAGGAAAATGTGAGGTTAGGATGATACAAGCACAGGGAAATACGATTGTGCTTTTCACCTTCAAAGACTATCACGTCTTGATTTTGGAATCCACATGAAGACATTTAGTTGCCTTTGATATCATCTAGGGATTCTGGACTTTGAAGTTTTCATCAAAGAAGAGCCTTTTTGCCCGGCGGGCGTGGCTCAGTGGTTGAGCATTGACCCATGAACCAGGAGGTCACTGTTCGATTCCCGGTTGGGGCACATGTCCGGGTTTCAGGCTCGATCCCCAGTAGGAGGTGTACATGGGCCAGCGGATCAATGACTCATCATTGATGTTTCTATCTCTCTCTCCCTCTCCTTTCCTCTCTCTGAAACCAATTTTTAAAAAGTAAAAAAAGAAGAAGAAGAAGAGCCTTTTTATTGTTCTTTACCCTTGTACACCAAGCTGGAGTGGTCAACTAACTTACCAAAACAAACTCCTCAATTTGTTCACGACCCTTTTCTGGTGTGAATTCACCGTGTGTGAGCCAGTCGATGTTTTGGATGGTGTATTCATCATCTTCTGCAAAAAAGATGTGAATTTGTTAGTTGCCTGATAGTGTGACATTATATAACAAGACAGTCCTTTAGGAACCCAAACAGGATTACTTACCTTCCACAGTATTAACAGCAGCGGTGATGGCACTCTTAGCTAAAGCTAGCGCTAGTTCGGTCACACTGCTGTCTTCTGTATCCTTTGCTGGTTCAGTCACATTGATCTCTCTATCTACTGCTGATTCAGACACATTGCTGTCTGGATCCATTGCTGTTGGTTCAGTCACACTGCTGGTTGTATCCATGGCTGCTGGTTCAGTCACATTGCTGTCTGTATCCATTGCTGGTTCAGTCACCTCACTGTCTTCTTTATCCTCTGCTGGGTCTGTCACCTCGCTGTCTTCTTTATCCACTGCTGGGTCTGTCACCTCGCTGTCTTCTTTATCCATTGCTGGTTCAGTCACTTCACTGTCTTCTTTATCCACTGCTGGGTCTGTCACCTCGCTGTCTTCTTTATCCACTGCTGGTTCAGTCACCTCGCTGTCTTCTTTATCCACTGCTGGATCTGTTACCCTGCTGTCTTCTTTATCCACTGCTAGTTCTGTCACCTCACTGTCTTCTTTATCTGTTGCTGGCTTAGTCACCCTGCTGTCTTCTTTATCCACTGCTGGTTCTGTCACCCTGCTGTCTTCTTTATCCACTGCTGGTTCTGTCACCCTGCTGTCTTCTTTATCCACTGCTGGTTCTGTCACCCTGCTGTCTTCTTTATCCACTGCTGGTTCTGTCACCCTGCTGTCTTCTTTATCCACTGCTGGTTCTGTCACCCTGCTGTCTTCTTTATCCACTGCTGGTTCTGTCACCCTGCTGTCTTCTTTATCCACTGCTGGTTCTGTCACCCTGCTGTCTTCTTTATCCACTGCTGGTTCTGTCACCCTGCTGTCTTCTTTATCCACTGCTGGTTCTGTCACCCTGCTGTCTTCTTTATCCACTGCTGGTTCTGTCACCCTGCTGTCTTCTTTATCCACTGCTGGTTCTGTCACCCTGCTGTCTTCTTTATCCACTGCTGGCTCAGTCACATTGCTATCTTCTTTATCAATCAATTGGATGGGAGGATTTTTATATACATCTACTATATCCTTAAATCTGACAGATTTAGTCTTCTTCATTTTCTTTTGGCTAGAAAAAGAAACTCAAGAAGTTACCGTGCGTGTATGTGTGTGTGTGTGCATGTGCGTGTGCATGTCCGTGTGTGTATATGCACACTCGCACACACATACACATGCGTACACACTGGTAGAAGTACAGACTATCTCTCGAAGAATCACAAGAGACCAGGAACCGTTGTTTCCTCTAGGGAGAGGATTAGGGGTTGGGGTAGGAGTGAGGCCTCACTGTTTACTCTTTGTGCCTGGCCACTGAGATCTGCTTTTCCTAAAAACCAAGGATTTTCAGATTCACATAACCATGAAGGCTTAAAATGTAGTAGAATGATTCCTAACTTCTTTGGAGTTCTAACAATATTGATTTCTAGCTGAGTCTTTAATACAGCCTCAAACCCTGCTTTAGGCATCTAAGAGCCCATGACTCTTTAAAGATAAAGTGAATTTAAATGATTGGAGGAAAGACAGTATAGGAGGAGTTGGTGTTTCAGGCTTTTCTCTAGGATTTTCCAGATATACAATTATGTCATCTGCCAGAAACTATCATTTTTTACCATCTCTTTTCCTGAAATATATAAGTATTAACATTGGTTAATACTTCTAGAAAAAATGTTAAGTGAAAGTAGAGATAAAGAGCATCCTTCCTTTGTGTCTGATTTTAATGGGCATGCTTTCTGGCATTACACCATTAAGGGCCATGCTGGTTTATGGCTTGAGATTCATCACATCAAGAAAATATTTGGCCCTGGCCAGTCTTACTCAGTGGTTAGAGCATTGGCCCATGGACTGAAGGGTCCCGGGTTTGATTCCAGCCAAGGGTACATACCTCCGTTGCAGGCTCGATCCCGCACACCGGCACCTGTGGGAGGCAACCAATCTATGTGGCTCTTTCACATTTCTCTCTCTCTCCCTCTCCCTTCCCCTCTCTCTGAAAAACCAATGGGAAAAATATCCTTGGGTGAGGATTTTAAAAAAAAGAAAAGAAAATATTTGCCTGCTCATTTTAGTAAGGTGTTCATCGTAAATGGTAGCTAATATTTCCAAATTCCTTTTACATCTATTGAGATTGTGAAAATTAGAGTTATCAGGGCTGTGAAGGGTTCATCACAGAGCTAGGAGTCTTTGTACCTTTTCCATCTTTTTTTCCATCTTTTCTCTTGAGTCATAGAATCTTTCTCTGCTATACTTAACTCTCTTCACTTTGGAGAAGTCACTTACTTCTAGCACAGTTTTAAATTCCTTGCAGACAGTCCTTGCATTTGGGGGTGCTGCAAGAAAATGGGTATTTCTTTCCAAAGGGAGCTATTTATTTGTCTATAAATAGCAACTCCCAGTTTTCGGTGTTTAATGGCCCTGTGATATTGTGCACTGGCTGCCTTTCACTGGCCCTTCCAGATCCACTCTCCCTCATCTCCCCTGCTCTCTCCCCTGGAAGGCTGATCTGGCTCTCCCTGGCCCTCTATCTTCCAGGAGGTTCCACACAATGGGGAGACCAGGCTGAACAGAGGAGAGTGAGTTGAGGTATATATTCCCCAGGGGGCTGTCCCCCTGCAGGATCACCTAGGCTGGCTGTATGGAGAAGGTAGGTCCCCACTTCTTCCAGGGCAGTTTTCTCACAACTTCCCAGTCTGGTAAGGGTAACCATTCTCTCCCTTCAGCCCTATGGCCCCACTGTGACTAGCCCTGGGGAGCCGTGCTTGCCCTTGATTCCCCACTGTCAGCCCATGCTTTGTAAAGATCCCCTTAACCCTTCCCTACCTATCCTACTTTTAGTATGCCAATTTTTCTTACCACGTTCATGAAATGAGGAAGCGAAGCTCACACCCAGACTGTCCAGCTCCACCGCAGCCTGTGCTCTTAACTACACTGCTTTCCTCCCTCCAAGATTCACAAAGAGTCGTGGGGACCTGTTCTCATATTTCCACCTGGAAATGTCCAGTGTTCTGATTCTCTTTGTGTGAGCCTCTTTCAAAACGGCTCACCCTTTGTTCCCTTTCTGGACATCATCATTGGTCCCAGGGTGTGGTGGGTACTGAACAGCCTTTAAACATTCTGGTAACAAATGCTGACTCGTGTTCATTTGGGTCTTCATATGAGCATTTGAAGCTCAATTTGCCTCTGCCTCAGTTCCCTATTGCTGCAGCTGGGTGGTGACCAGGGCCACCTGCTAGGGGGAAATGGAATCTTCCCAGGCTACCCATTCCAGAACTGGGAGTGAGGGAGTCTAAAGGCCCTTAACCTTGGAGAAGTGACTTTCCCCAGCCCGATTTGGCCAAAGCAATTTGCTGGAAACTCCGTAGTTAAAGGACAATAGAGTGTTTTTGGTAAACTGGTAAATTCGGTGTGCTTTGGTGAGTCCATACAATAACCCGCTCCTTCAGAAAATGGCCCATTAGGTGACTTGGTCAGTCAGTGACTTGGCTTTCAGCAAATTACTTGTTGATGAATTGACTGGAAGCCAAATGTATGACTTTCAACACCAAGCAAATGAGGAGGGAGCTTTATCCACAGAAGCACCTCCTTAAGACCTTCCCCCAGGGTAGCCCTGTGCTACAACAGGAGAAGGAAAGGAGGGAGCAGGGCTCAGGAAGCAGTTCTGATCTTATCCTCACACATCTGTGGGCACAAACCACTCTTAAATGTCCCTGTGCCTGGCCTCTCCTAATTCTTTTTCTCCCCTTCCTTTCCTAAGAGGTGGGCAGAATGGGTGTGAAGGGTCAGGGGTGTGGTCAAGTTTGGGGTCTGGGTGATGAATAGGGAGAACCACTGCAGGTCCTTTCTGTGGAGCCACTCCCACCCTTCACAACCCCTAATACCTGAGTGAGCAGATCCTTGTATGGAAAAGTGGTAGCCAGGGAAGCCTCAGGAGTCTCTCAGCAGCTTTTCCCCAAGATTCCCAGAAGGAATGTTTACAAGCGCTGCCAGGGCAACACCCGTTTCAACCAATGGGAAACAAAGTCCAAAGGAGAACTCCCACTACTTTTGTTAGTAAAGGAGGGGGCTAGTCAGTCACAGCAACAATCTGACTTCCAAAGCAGGACCGAGCTGTAGTGTCCATGCCCAGCTTCTCCCAAGCAGGAGATGAGCTGGCAGGGCTGTGCCAGGGGGGAGAGCAACAATGAGTCTCACAGTTGCTAGGTACCAGGGTCCTCATTGTGTGCCAGGCACTGTGTGAGGTCATTTCCTCCTCACAGCAGCCCTGTGAGGTAAGTATTAGTATTTTCATTACAAGTGAACAAACTGAGGCACAGTATTAAAGTTGCCAAAAACTCAAACCCAGAGCTGTCCAATTTCTTGACTGAGCTTTTTACTTATTTATTCCCAAATTTTGAGGTTAGAACCTCCCCTGTGTGCTTATTTTCAAAGATGTCTTTCTTTCATTGATTCACATTTTAAAAAATAATTTATTGAGGTAAAATTGACATTACATAAAATTAACCATTTTAAAGCAAACAACTCAGTGGCACTTAGCACATTCACAGTGTTTTTTCCACCACATTTTAACATCTCTGAAATGGGGATTCATCATACAATCAATGATATATTATGGTTTAATTGATAGTGTTTTTAAAAATTCTTCATAGTGGAATATAAATGAAGGTGCACCTTTCAGATGATGGTGTCTTAGATTAGTTGAAATATGGTATTTGGTGGTCTTCTTGGGTTTTTGAGGGAACATACATCATATTTGGTGCACCCCACTCATTTACTGAATATCTTATGTGAATCCAGAATGAGCTTATACTATAATGGTTATCAGTATAGACCCAGGAATAATTCACTTAACATTTCTAAGTTTCTTATGAGGATCAGAAAATTAATGTAAAGACTGAGGACAGTGCCTGATACATCATAAAGTCTCTCTATAATGGTTAGATATTATTTCCAGTATTATTATTAATAGCTGTAGTACTATAAAGTGTTATTTTAAATGGTGAAATCAAAAGTTGTTGGCCTTGTGTTAAGACTCAGTTTTATTTTGTGAATTTTATTAATCCATGAAGTCTTCAGGGCTGGGAGCCCTGCCCTTAACCACTGTGCTCTGCACATGGAGTGGTGGGCTTCTCACCCTAAAACAATTGGTCTCAAGCCCAACAAAGAAAGGAAAGTGTTTTGCTCTTTAGCCAGGAAGAAATGCTGGGTCTGCTGCCTGAAGACACCACATACATCAAGGTCCCATACACAGGGAGCCTGTTGCTGAGATGGTGTCGTTGATACCATTGTAATTAGATAATTATTAATAACAGGAAAGGAACAAAAGGAAGGCCGGACATTACAGGCATGTTCCCTGCAAAACATGGGGGGAAGGGGACTGGACAAAAGGAAGATAAATGCATGCCCAGTAAAGTTGGGATGACTAGGGAAGATGTTTGTTGTCAGTTACACCAAGGAACAAAGGTCATTGGTCAGAATGGCTGTGGCAACTGCAAGTTCAAGGAAATCTGGAATATATAATCCCCTGGCATTCTCCTGTGTGGCCCACGGCCATGCAGACCCTCACACACAATGGACTAATGGACTGCAGCTAGCCTGATGCTGTACTGGACCTGTCTCCAACATGGAAAGGAAACTCTGGACACTGGCTTTGCTTCTAGTTTTACTGAAACATGGCTATACATCTTCTATGACTGGACTAAAGGAAATGGGACTTTAGAAACACAGGGATTTAATTCCACGCAAATAAAAATCACTTGTTCTCTTGCGCAAGTCTGAGAAAATTCTTTTTCTTAGGATATGGTAAGAACTCCACTCCCCAGCAGCACCCAGTGGGAAGAGGACCCCGCCACTTCATCCAAAATCACAGTGAGGTCGGGGACTGGGATTGGGAGAGAAGAAGGGTGGAAGTGAGTGTGGCTTAGTTGGAGGAACTCAATCTCTGATCCCAGAGGGTTTTGTAGGGGTCCAGAACAAGTCTCCCCAGAGTGTGCCACCCTGGCATGCAGATTATTTTGAGCTGAAAGTAAAACTCAACAAACTCAAGAAGAGTTGTTTTTTTATTTTTACTT